ATATATGTACACACACACATACAGGCTGCTAACCAAAAAGTCAGTGGTTCAAACTCACCAACCTCTTTGGTAGAAAAGACCTGGTGATCTGCTCCCATAATGATTTACAGCCTAGGAAACCCTATGGGGCAGTTCAACTCTGTCCTATAGGGTCGCTATGCATCAGAATCAACTTGATGACACACAACAAATATATATATATATATACACACACACACACACGCAAACAGAATCTTTTTTTTTTTTTTTAAATTCCTAAAAATACAGATTGGTTCATTCATTCATGAAAAATGCATACAGCTATGCTCAGGCAGATCATAATATATTTGATTATATTCATTATGTTTGGGAAAGAAGCTTTTTAATTATTTTTATATCTACAGGGATTTCCTTTCACAGTATTTTATTTAGTAATGTAACACACCATGGTCAAATCCCCGCCCTCCCCTTCCCCTCCCTGGTAACCATCAAAGATTGTTTTTTTGTGTGTGTAAACCTTTGCGTGAGTTTTTACAGTACAGGTCTCATACAATATTTGTCCTTTTGTGATTGACTTATTTCACTCAGCATAATGTCCTGCAGTTTCATCCATGTTATGAGATGCATCACAGATTCATCATTGTTCTTTATTGTTGCATAATAGTCCTTTGTGTGTATGTACCATAGTTTGTTTATCCATTCATCTGTTGATGGACATCTAGGTTGTTTCCATCTTTTTGGTATTGTGAACAATGCTGCAATGAACATGGGTGTGCATATGTCTATTCCTCTGATGACTCTTATTTCTCTAGGATATATTCTTAGGAGTAGGATTCTTGGATCATATGGTATTTCTATTTCTAGCGTTCTAAGGAAGCACCATATTGTTTTCCAAAATGGTTATATCATTTTGCATTCCCACCAGCAGTGCATAAGAGCTCTGATCTCCCCGTAGCCTCTCCAACATTTGTTATTTCCATTTTTTTTGATTTGTGCTAGTAATGCCCAGGTGAGATGGTATCTCATTGTGGTTTTGATTTGCATTTCTCTAATGGCTAGTGAACACGAGCATTTCCTCATGTGTTTTTTGGCCGCTTGAATGTCTTCTTTGGTGAAGTGTCTGTTCATTTCCTTTGCCCATTTTTTAATAGGATTATTTGTCTTTTTGTTGTATAGGTGTTGGATGTTTCTTGTAGATTTTAGAGATTAGACCTTCGTCTGATTTGTAATGGCCAAATTTTTTTTCCTAGTCTGTAGGTTCTCTTTTTACTCTTTTGGTGAAGGCTTTTGATGAACATTAAGTGTTTAACTTTTAGAAGATCTCGGTTATCTAGCTTATCATCTGGAGTTTGTGGGTTGTTGGTTATGGTTTGTATCATGCTAATGTCATGTATTAGGGCTTCTATCGTTGATCCTGTTTTTTCTTCTATGAACTTTACAGTTTTTGGCTTTATATTTAGGTCTTTGATCCATTTTGAATTAGTTTTTGTATATGGTGTGAGGTATGGGTCCTGTTTCTTTTTTTTGCAGATAGGCATGCAGTTTTGCCAGCACCATTTGTTAAAAAGTTGTCTTTTCCCCATTTAACGGACTTTGGGCCCTTGTTGAAGGTCAGGTGACCACAGGTGGATGGATTCACATCTGGGTTCTCAATTCTGTTGCACTGGTCAATGTATCTGTCATTGTACATGCTCAAATTTTATTCTCTAACCTTGTTCCATCTAATGCTAATAGCTGAAATAGATGTGATTTTACTTTCGCTCACTTATTTGTTCATTGGTTCATTTTTCAACAGGCACTGTTGAAGTTGCTGGTGTTGCAGCAGTAACGTCCTCACAGAGTATTCATTTTAGTGAGGGACAATAGATAAATAACTTAAAAACAAATTGGGTTCAACACTCATTTATGATAAAACATAGCAATCTAGGAATAGAAGGGCACTTCCTTAAACTAATACAGAATATCTACAAAAATAATCTCTTGAAAAATTTCCCCCTGAGAAAAGGAACAAATTGAAAAATTTCCACCTGATATCTGGAACATGATATGAATTCTAGCATCATCACTTATATTTAATATTTTACTGACTATCCAAGCAAGTGCAATAGGAAAGAAATAAAATTCATAAGGCTTGGAAAGAAATAAAATTGTTACTATTCAAAAATTACATGACTCCATATGTAGAAAATCTGAAAAAAGTCTACAAAAAACTATAGAGTTAATAAGTGAATATAGCAAGGTTCCTAGATATAAGATGAATACAAAAAATCACTGTATTTTTACATACCAGCAGCAAAGAAATAGAAAATAAAATAAAACACAGGGCATGATTTGCTATTACATCAGAAAACATTACCTAGAAATAAATCTAAAAACTATAAAGTTTCATTGAGTGCAATTAAAGAAAACCTAAATATGTTTAAGAACTAGAAGACTCAATAGTTAAGATGTCAATTCTCTGTAAATTATTTTATAGGTTTAATGCAGTCTCACTCATAGCAAGTTTTTTTATGGATATTGATAAGCCAATTCTAAAGTTCATATGAAAATGCAAAGGGCCAAGAATAGCCAAGCCAAATGCATAGGGATAGGCATTTATTAGTGTTTAACAGGTGCTAGGGGAAGAGTAAGTGCAGAGTTATTACTTAAGGGGTACTGAGTTTCTGTTTAGGGTGATGAAAAACATTTGGAAATCAATAGTGGTGCTACTTGCACAACATGGTGAATATAATTAATATCACTGAGTTCTACACTCAAAAATGGTCAAAATGGCAATTGTTGTGCCATATGTATTTCACAATAATTAAAGAGTATATACTGTATAAGCAAGTCAGATTTTCCCTGAAAACAATATGTATTATAATAAAGCAGAACAATAAATCAATGCATTAAAAAAAAGAATAGCCAATACAATCTTGAAGAAGATGAACAAAGCTAGAGGATTTACACTAGCAGATATCAATATTAATTATAAAGTTACAATATAGAAGGCAGTGTGATGGAGACAAATCGATTAAAGACATAAGAAACAGAGTCCAGAAACAGAGCAGATGCATACATAATCTTCTAATTTATGGTGATGACACTATGATACAGTGGGGAAAGGATGGTCTTTTCAATAATTTGTGCCACTTAGATATCTCTATGGAAAGAGAAGGTATCTTGACCCCTATCATGTACATACACAAAAACTAATTTAATATTTTACTGGAGATCCAAGGGCAATATTCCAGATGGATCATGGATTTATAAATTTTAAGAATGTAGGAAAATATCTTCATGATCTTGTAATATGCAAAAAGAAATCTTCAACACGACATAAAAAGCCAACCATATGGAGAAAAACGTTAAATTGAATATCAAAAGTAAGTATTTCTATTAATCAAATATACTACTAGAGAGTGAAAATACAACCCACACAGTGGGAGAAAATATTTGCAACACATATAACTGACAAAGGACTTATTAAGAATGTGTACTCATCAGAGGAATGTAAATTAAAACCACAATACGATATTGCTACATGTCTACCAGAAAGGCTGAAATGAAAAAGACAAACACCATCAAATGTTGGTGAGGATGTGGAGCAACAGGAACTCTCATATACTGTTGGGAATATAAACTGGCACAACCACATAGAAAATTGTTTGGAATTACCTACTAAATCTGGTCATAAGTATGCCATATAACCAGCAATTCTCCTCCTGGCTAATAACCAACAGAAGTGAATGCTTATGTCCTCTAAAGGACAGGTACAAAAATGTTCATAACAACATTACTCAAAAACACCAAAGACTGGAAACAACTCAACCTTCTTCAATAGAATGGAATGGATAAAAACAATTTGGTATGTTCAAACAATGGAATACAACACAGCGATGAAAATGAAAGAATTACAACTATACACAATAATATCTATGAAAATGAGATAATGTTGAACAAAATAAGCTGGATACAGAACAGTCAATACTGTATGATTCCTTTTACCTAAATTTCAAAGCCACACAAAACGAATTTATGGTATTAGAAGTCAGGATAGTGGTTATCTTAGTGGGAAGCTAGTGACTGTAAGGAGGTGCAAGGGCAAGGGAGTCTGGCAGTGTTTTCTTTCTTGATCTGAATGCTGGTTGTACAGCTGTGTACATTTTGTGAAAATTCACTGAACAAATCACAATTATAACTGTGCACTTTTATGTACACAAATTATAGTTCAGTTAAAAAGGAATCTCATTGTATAATACCATAGTGAATACATATTCAAACTATTAACATTTTCTAAAGGTTAAATAATGTATATGGTAAATGGAGTTGAATGACGTGAAGAAAATAAAGTAAGGGCAGGACATAGGGAGCGTAGGAGATTGTGAGCAGGATGGGTGAGCAATTTTAAATAGGGTGGGTAGAGAAGAACTCAATGAGAATAGTTAATTACGTTTTTCTTACCTGTATGGTAAAATTTCCCCGAAAATCCCAGGTTGAATGTAAAATTTATGATTTGTGCACGCAAAAGATTCTGTGTATCAAGCAGGGCCTGAAATACATAATTAAAAACAATGCATCAGGCAGAGAATGGTATTGAGACATCTGTAAAAGGTATCTTCCTTGTGCCTTCAGAGAATAAATCCATTCCTTTATATATAAGAGAATTAAATGATGAAAACTAGTTTATCACCTTATGACTAGAAAGATATTTCAAGATTATATACAACATACATATTTATCCTTAAGCTTGCAAGAAATTGGCAAAAAATGTTGAAAACTAGAAAAAAAGGTAAATGAAAAGTCTATCCTGTATGTATTAAGGAACTAGTATCTATTCCCTAAAATGTATTTGTTTTTATCCCTCAGGGACATAGATCACCAACTGTCAAAATAAACTCTCTTTAACTGAAGCTATGTAAGAACACAAGGAGCTGGGGTGGTGCAGTGATTAAAGTGCTTGGCTGTTAATCAGAAGGTAGGTGGTTCCAATCCACCAGGCACTCTGTGAGAGAAAGATGTGGCAGTCTGCTCCCGTACAGATTTACAGCTGGATAAACCCTACAGGGGAAGTTCTACTCTGTCCTACAGGGTTGCTATGAGTTGGAATTGACTCAACAGCAGCAATGTTTTTTCTTTTTCTTTTTTGGTATGCAAGAACATATGTTGAAGTAAACAGATTATTATACATCTTTTGTCTTCAAAATACAAGACTTTTTAATCTTTAAGTCTGAGATTTCCAAAAGACAGTAATTGCTTCAAAAAGGCATATAATGGTAAAGCAGATCTTCAATATGCCCTTTCACTTAAAAACAGACAAAAAAATCCTACTTCTGACAAGTAAAGCTGTTTTGAATCAGGGTTTATATTGTCATACCCTATAAAGTATTTACCTTACTATGAGTGTTTAATGGACTTTTCTTTTTCATTCTTATTTAAATTCCTATCATTCCCTTCTCTTCCCTTTCCTCCCTGTCCCACCCCATTCTTTCTCACACACACACACACACACACACACACACACACACACACAGTTGACTGCTCATCCCAATGAGGCAGACAGTAACAATGAATGTTAGATTTATAAAGGCTCTTAACACTTATTATACACATGAGGAAACTGAGGGAGGAGAAATGACTAATTTTCACAGTTAAAATTAGTTTTATATCTTGGATTAATGATACAGATCGCTTGACTTTAAACGAGGTACGCTCTCTATTCGACTATACCATCTCCTCTTTTCCCCTTTCCATAAGTACAGATGGACCCACAACTACATCTTGTTTTCTTGTAGTATAACTGACACCTGGAAGCCCCACTCCATCATGTGCACGGTCTCAACCTTTTTGAGGATATACATATGAACAGCTTTTATTCAGTGACTATCCCACAAACACCTGTGAATGCAAAGGATTCTCCCCGTTGTGTAAAAGCAGAGGAAGAGAACTTCTGAATATCAAATTTACATTTATTTGACCAATGCTGTTTTCAAAAATTAGGTATCTAATTCTTCTTCTTTACATTACTCTTTTCATGTGGGCAACTTCTCTGTGTGCACAAATGAACCATGTAAGATGTGAGTTCTGTTGGCACTCCAAGATGAAAGGTAAGTCTGTTCATGAGTTTCCAAAAGTAACTACTGGAACAAAGGGGTTAAGTGATGGCACTGATGTTGGCGACAGGTCAGGTCCTGTCCTTAACAAGGCTGGGCATAGGTTGGGCAAAGAAAGGAGAATTTGCCCAGCTGAATAGTGATGAAGTGAGGAATGGGTTTTCCAGGTGGTACACTAGGACTTGGTGTGTGAAGGTGGGGTGAGGAGTTATACCTGGGTGTGAGGTGTAAGCTTTACTTTTCCTTAAGGAAGGAGCATTAGGAAGGGAAGCTAAAAGTATGGATTTAAATTCAAGCTCTGAAACTTATACTGTATCCACTGAGAGCACAGGCTCCAGAGTCAGACTGTCTCAGGGGGAATCCTGGATCTACTACTACTCAGCACTGGACATGTTATTAAATTTCCCAAGACTCATCCTCATCATGTGTAAAGTAGGCATAATAATAATTATCGCAAAGCTCTGTTGTGAGGATTAAATGCAGTAATTCATTTATGTTCTTGGTAAAGTGACTGACACATAGTATGAGCTCAACAATTGCTAGCTCCCTGTCATGGTTAATTTATGTGTCCACTTGGCTAGGTTATGGTGCCTAGTTGTTTGGTCAAACGCTAGTCTAGATGCAGTTATGAAGTACTTACACATAGTAAGTCCCCGGGTTACGAACGGCTGACTTACAAGGACAACTAGTAGTTGCCCTTTAATGTTATGTAAATTTGTCCTGACTTTGAAATGACTGAACCAACCCCTACTAGCACCAAATCCTTCATCACAATCACCTGTACTTGCTGCACATGCAACTTTTAAATCATTGAAAAGTCTTCGAGCCTTTTCTTGCAATAAGGCAAGGCTAAATAAGAACTGTATACACCTGCTCTGACTTACCTACAAATTCAAATTAAAGACACACTTACGAATGGATCTTGTTCGTAACCTGGGGACTGCCTGTATAATTAAATTAGTTGGCCTTAAATAAAGCAGATTATCCTCCATAATGTGGGTGGGACTCATCCAATCAGTTGAAAGCCTTAAGAGCAAAAGGGGAGTTTTCCCTAAGGTGTATTCTGCTTCCAGACTATAAATAGATATCTTACCAGAACTCCTCTCTTCACTCTGTCTATATTGACTGACCTATGTATTTCGGGACACAGTACTACAGGAATCTCCAGCCTGTCACTGACCTATGGATTTTGGACTTGCCAGCTCCTCACCACCACATAAGCCAATTCCTTAAAATAAATCTCAATCTCTCTCTCTGTAAACACCTATATTAAAAAAGAAGGAAGATCTCAAATTAACAACCTAAATCTATGCCTTAAGGGTATAGAAAAAGAAGAACAAACAAAACCCAAACCTACCAGAAAGAAGGAAATAATAAAGCTTAGAGATGAATAAAAGATAGTATAGAAAAAAAAAAATCTTTTTTTTTTTTTCTTAGGAAAAAAGATAAGGATAAATATTTAGGATCTTGGATTTGGTGATGGATTCTAAGATACAATACCAAAAGCACAAGCAACAACAACAAAAAAATAGATAAAATGGACTTCATCAAAATTAGAAACTTTTTGTGCATCAAAGGACATTGTCAAGAAAGTAAAAGGACAACCTACAAAAGGGAAGAAAATATTTAGAAAACATATATCTGATGAGGTTTAATATCCAGAATATATAAAGAATACCTACAATTCAGCAACAAAAATATAAACAACCCAATTAAAAAAACAGGCAAAGGACTTCAATAAACATTTTTTCCAAATAAGCACATAAACACATATCCAACATCATTAGTCATTATGGAAATGCAAACCAAAACCACAATGATACCACTTTAGACCCACTTGAATGACTTTTATCAAAAAAATGAAAAATAACAAGTATTGACAAGGATGTGGAGAAACAGGAACACTCATTCATTGCTGATGGGAATTTAAAATGGTGCAGCTGCTGTGGAAAACAGTCTGGTCTTTCCTAAAAATGATAAACATAGAATTATCATATAAATCACTCTTGGGTGTATACCCCAAAGAAAGCAGGAACTCGAACAAATACATGTACACCAATATTCACTGCAGTATTATTCACAATAGCCAAAAGGTAGAAATCCCATTGTTTATCAATAGATGAACGGATAAGCAAAATATAGTACATATATACAATGGGATATTACTCAGCAATATAAAGGAATGAAGTTCTAACACGTGCTATGATGTAAGTAAAATGCTAAGTGAAAGAAGCCAGACAAAAAAGAACAAATATTGTATGCTCCCACTTACATGAAGTATCTAGAATAGGCAAGTGTATAGAGACAGAAAGTAGACTCGTTACCATGAGCTGGGATGAGGAGAGAATGGGGAGTTAATGTTGAATGGGTATAGAGTTTCTATTTGGGGTTATAAAAAAAGTTTTGGAAACAATTAGTGGTGATGCTTGAACAACAATGTGAATATAGAAGAGATACTGAAATAGACGGCAGATATTAATATTATGTCTTTGTATTGTGAAAAGGGAAATTTAGTTCTAGATGTAATTTTATGCTTAAGATAAGCTAGTAATATTTTCTTGTTGTTTATATGAACCAGATCTTTGGGGTGTCTATGAGAGTAATGTTATATATTTATCCATTCTTTCCACCCTTTCAATACATGCTTACTAATGGCCTATTCTGTGCAGGAAGCTCAAACACCCAGCAATATTCTTAGATCACATCTTTGTTATGAAACTCTTTATTACTAGAATGACTATATTTAGCATTATTCTATTTTAAACTGAGACCATCATTTTTATGAATAAAATACTATAAAAATATTATATAATTTTATGGTATAAAATACTTTGCTTTATTGTCTATATGCAACATGCCTAAAATAGTAGATTAAAAAAAAAACCAAACCCATTGCCGTTGAGTCAATTCCAACTCCTAGCTACCATACAGGACAGAGTAGAACTGCCCCATAGGGTTTCCAAGGAGTGGCTGGTGGATTCAAACTGCCAACCTTTTGGTTAGCGGCCGAGCTATTAACCACTGTGCCACCAGGGCTCTGAATAGTGGATAGTATCTAAAAATCTAATCACAATAAGCTAAATCAATGTTCCAGTACCTCATTTAGAAAACCACACGCATTCTGAGTAAGCAAATCCTCTCTGATGTTTAGAGTACATTGGTCATGGAAAAGGTAAGTAACCATAACCACCTCTGCTAAGGCATCAACCAAAAGTCTCATCAAACATCAATTCAAGAATCCTAAGAACATATATGTCCACATTCAAAAATTGTCTGATTACTGAAAAACAGTACTTTATTTTTAACTGTTCCAATTTAAGGGTAATTTACAATTCCATGCATCAGTGATTATTTTAAAAATAAGGTTTATTTTCCTAATTAAAAAAAAAAACTTAAATTACTAATAAATACACCTTTTAAGATAAGTTAATATTATGAC